GCTTGCTCAGCTTCCTGCTTTCCCAGGTCTGGATTTCACCAAAAGTAGTGGCAAGCAGAGAAACATCTGGGGAGCGTGAGCTTCATTATGAAAAAAACAAACCCCAGTATTAACCCTTGGGGCACCCTAAACAAAATGAAAGAGCTGCTTAGCTCTGCCGTGCTATGTTAGACTTCAGTATGACCCAAGTTTATCTGCAGGAGAAGAGAAAGGGCTGCAACACCAAAAGAGGGCAGGTTTAGACTGGACATAAGGAAGAAATTTTTTGCGACAAGAGTGGTGAGGCACTGGAACAGGTTGCCCAGAGAAGTTGTGGATGCCCCATTGTTAGAAGTGGTCAAGGTCAGGTTGTATGGGGCTTTGAGCAACCTGACCTAGTGAAAGATGTCCCTGCCCACGGCAGGCAGGGTGGACTAGATGATCTGTAACCGTCCCTTCCAACCCAAACCATTCTATGATTCTGTGAAAAAAGGTGTCGTAGCTGCTTAGCTGAGAGTTGGGGTTTGGTTCCTGGCCAGCAACCGCTGCCTGTAATGGAGATCTCCGAGTGTGAAGCTGCTGCATGCTGGACACACACAGGCTGTCCTGTGCCACCAGCAATGCAGTTCCTGTGCCAGCAGCAGCACACAGACAGCGGGGAGTATTTTTCACGCCATTTCACCTGCTGCAGTTCCAGCAGCCAGGCAGCTCCCCTTGGCCGGCTGGTCCAGGGTCACCGCTGCTCCCTGCATGGGGATGGCTGCACAAACGTAGGGCTGAGTGCAGGCAGGTTTGATTGCAATTCTCCATCATTTAAAAACCAAACCTTCCCCCTCAAACCCCCTCAGCTATAGGCCTCAGCCATTTGCTGCCTCTGCCCAGAGAGACTTTCCAGCTGTTCTCCCGCTTGCTTGTGTCAATAGCTATTTTTACAAAATTGCTTTTCTTTACTTCTTAATTGATCTAAATCCTTTCCCTTAGCTTTCTTGTTAAAGGTGGATTTAAAGAGAAGGAGTTCATTATCTCGGCCATTTTTGAGTCATTATGAATTTCATCCTTCTCCTCATTAATTACTCATTACCCCTCGCTCTGGAGGGCTGCTTTGTCCCCGATGTGTTTGTGAGCAGCTTCCCCAGCATCCTGTAATCCCCCCAGCCCCGCGTTAGCTCGGTCTGGTTTACGCTGCCTTTGCTTTCCCCTCCGCTGCCCACTTGGCTGCTCCTTGTCTCCTCTGCTCCCAAGCCAGCTCTTGCCTTTGCATTGCGCCCGAGTGCCTGTTTCCTGATGAGCCCTCCGGCAGCTGCCCGGCCCCGGATGCCTCAGTGGGTCAAAGCCCCACAAGCATCATCCCTGTGCATTGTGCCTGCCCCAAGGGACAAGCACCTGTCCCCGCTGGCCCCCGTGCCGGGCAGGCAAGGAGAGTCACTGGCTCCTGGTTAATGGGTTGGCACTGGAGTCTGGATATAAATAGCCCTTTTTCAGAAAGCAATGGCTTTGCTTGGCCTGTTTCGGTACCTGCCAAGTTATGACAAAGCAGCATGGAGAGCGGAGTAATGTTGCATAAGGACCTTGGGTTTAATGGCCTGGTATTTCCCAAGCCTTTGGCTGCAGTCAGATCCCCAGGGAGAACCTGAAACGTGTAAGCATCTCCTGTGCTACAGCTGCAGTGCTTCAGGGGAGCACAGTGGCTGCAATAGTGTAATCGACCTCCCATCCGTGCATGAGCACTTCCCTGGCAGGGGAGAGTCGAACATGGTACGGGCCGTCAGAGACTGACACTGCTACTGAAGCAACCTTCTCCAGTCCCACGCACATATTAGCTATAATACCATATTACCCACAAATGGATCCATGACTGGGGATCACAATGAGTGATGGTCTTTCTCTGGACCTAAACAAACACACAACCACCCAGTGTCTGCTGGCAAGAGGCCCCCTCCAACCCAGCCTGATGCTCGGGTTGACTTCCATGCCCATGTTGCCCCAGCAGCTTCCCAAAAAACTTGCAGGACTTTTTTCTCCATCACAGCAGGGGATGGAGATTTAAGGTCTGTCCTCTCCTCCCCGAGGTCAGTATTACATGCACTTCTGCGCTGAACTTCCTCCCAGCAGGAGGGCTGGGGTCTGCTCGCCAGGGAGGGCCCTTTCCATACTTCATGGATGTGTATGAAAAAGCAAAGCAGGAAAAATGTGTTGGGTTGGTAAAGGGAGAAGAGGGGTGTGCGATATTTGCTTGAGGAGGGTAAACAAGGGTTGCACAAGCAAGTAATTGGGTTGCACAATCAGAAGCTGTGGAATTATTTAACTTAACAAGTTACCACTGATCAACTGAGCTGCACTTTCTCAGGGGTTTTAAGCCAAAACATCTTATTCTTTAACTGGAGCAAATTAAGATAAGGCACCTGGTCCAGGAGTGCAACTCTGCTGACATGCACTGAGCCACTCCTCAGCGCATCCCTCAGTGGGAGGGAAGGGGTCGCAAAATCTTTTGAGGGGGATTGCAAAGTGCTGGGCTGCGAAGAAATCAGCAGCAGTTCAGACCCTCCAGGACAGAGAAATGGATTGAGAACAGGCTACAAGTGCTTAGAGCAAGCCTTCACACTTGCCTGGAATCTCCTAACTACCTTTAATGGCTGGCAGCAACTCCAGTCCTCCACCACAGGGGAGAGCCCAGCAAAACCATCTGAGCCAGCAATTACAGCCATTCCTCATTCTCCATCTGTGAAGCAATCATGTGGCTTAAGACAACAGGGGACTTCGTGACAAAGGAGCTACAAGGGACAGATACTTTGAGGTGGTTCAGTAAACAAACACCCCCTTGTCAACACGCTGGAGTCTCGGCCCTAAAGGACATGCCAAAATCCAGCACAGAAGGAGCTGGGAGACTGAGAGGATTATTTTCTTCTGCTCCTGTATTTCATTGGGAGTAACTGCTCTGGGATGCTCCTGTTGAGCTTTTCACTTGCTGCAGTTGCATCCTGCAAAACTGTTGCCTTCTGCCATGCTGCTCCTGCAGCAAAGAGGGGTGGCCTGTGCTGGCACCCCCACAGGTGCAAGTCTTGGCACCAAGGCCCGTATTTGTGTATTTTCCAAGGAGATCAGCAGAGGGTCAGACCTGGGCAGTGAGTGCCTGAAGGCATGAGCCATTGCTGGGAGAAGAGAACTTCCCCGAGAGGAGCTCTGTGCATCTGACGATGGTTGGTGATGAGCCAGCAGCTGTAGCTCCATCTTGGCCTTCATTCCTCGTAACCTGAGCAACAGCGCGAAGGTTCGGTAAAACCCAGTCGCAGGGTACAGAGACGTGCTCTCTGGAGATGGAGTAAGCAAACACCCAGCCTCCTCTGGTCCAACCCTTGCTGCCTGGTGCTCCGGAGGGAAAGGAGACCTCCAGCCACGCAAACAGCCCTCTGCGTGAGTCTTGCACAAAATGCCAGAATGACCTATTTCTGCATCTGTGGGATGTCCCTCTCCTCGGCCTCCACAAAGGGGTTTGCAAGGACTGACCATTTTAAGCACGTATCAGTGAAATACAGCTCCCCAGCTCGGGTTGTCTAATACCACATTTGCAATGCCTCAGACTTCAGAGCTTTTCCAAATTCCTCAGGGCTGTAAGGCTAATTTAGGCCAGCATCTGGAGTTTTACAAGGCACAAACAAGATAGAGCTCTATTCATTCTCTCTTCCCTTTCTTATAACCACAGGTACCTGGCACTGCTCGAGAAGAAACACGTGGGAAGTGCTCTGGGAAGAATCCAGGGTCACTGGGCAAGGCTGGGCCTTCCCTCGTACTGCTCTGACACGCGGCAGAGACAAAAAAGACCCTGCCACCGCGGGGATGAGATGGTCCGTCTGCAGCAGGGAGAGCGATCGCTGCTCCTCACTCCCAGCTGGGCCCCTGAATCTTGATGCAGAAGGGTCCCTGGGCTGGCACGGGCAGGGCTTGGTGGCAGCCGGGAGTGCAGGGCAAAGGAGACACCAGTGAGGCTGCTGATACTGCGAAGGGTCTGCAGCTACACAAAACTATTGCATGTCTGAAACTTCTCCCCAAAATTGTCAGACTTGTTCTAGTTCAGTAACTAGCTGGAGAGTAAAAAGGGCAGACAAAATAATCCTCTTGCAGGAGGAGAGAGGATAGTTTAACTAGCAATGCCTCATCCAGCATGGCCAGAACCACCGTGTCCTGAATGCTGGTGCTTACGCACCGTAACACTCTCCATGTACTTCTCTGTCTGGGAATATTCACACCAAAAGCCTCCCACAGGAAATCTGAACCTCCAGCGCTCTCCTGACTCCCTTGCACCCACCACAAGGTATTTAAAGACCTTCTACCTTGATGCTAAAGAAATAGCATCAAAGTAAAAGTCATACCTTAGGGGATCTGTTTCCCTAGTGTAGAGCACAGCTTCACTACGGGTTTTTAAATTGTCACGAGCTGTTATTCCCCCAGGATAACACACAAGCACTTGAGTGTTCAGGCTCCACGGACGGCCACTTCAAATTCAAGTTCTTTGTCTTTGCGTACCAGGCACAGAGACCTGTGCAGTTCCTAGCACCCCTTCACCTCCCCAAACACTTCATCACAAATTTCTACTGCCATGTATTTTAAAACCTCTGCAATTCTCTTAACAAGCCTCATCAACACAGGCATCTTTTGAAGCCCTTGCTCCTTAGGTTACATGACTGCATGAGACCATCAGCTTTCAAACAGCATATGGCTCTTCGGTTTGTAACGTCACAAGAATCCCCTAAAATTATGACTTCCCAAAAGCTTTTAAAAGCTGACAGCGAAAGACCAGCACCCCAAAAGATCAGCTGCCCACTGGCCCCACTACCACTCACAGACTGGTGCCTGTAGGAAACAGCCAGACCACCATGCACCCTCTAATTAACACATGGAAACACAGCAGCCAGGGCAGGAATAAGAGCAAATCCCTTACAAGCGAAGGCTGCTGGAGTGAGGAGCTGTGTCGGATAATGAATCTGCTTTAATATTTCTCCCCCAAAAAGAAATCCAACTTCCACTTCTTCTAGGGCAAACTCAAAAGGTTTTATTTTAATTTTTTTTTTTTTTAGCAAATTCTATCACATAAATGTTAACAAAAACATCTGTACAATTGCCATGATACACTCAAAAGTGAAACAAATAAGATATAAATACAGATATGGATGTAACATGACAAAAGCGGAAAAAATAGAAAAAAACACATGCGCATGAACACGGTGCCAACAAAGTCATTTCTCATGGTTGGCGTTTTTCAGAGCGGTTTTTACTTCCCATTTAAAACATTGTTAGCAACGTCCTGCTGTATTCTACGAAGGTCTATTTTTCTGTCCCTTAATATGTAATATTATGCTTGATAAATAAAGGGGTGGGGAGAAAAGGTTTTGATGACAAAGATGTGAGTTACATTACTTATACAGGTTATTGGTAAGCTAGTAATAAGCAATAAAAAAGACAGTCTCGTATTGTATTGTAATCCAGGCAAGCACACATAGTGTACCTTAAGAAAGCCACATGCCTCGATATTTCTGCACTACATGAGAACTACAGTACGTAGACCTGTGGGGCGGATGGATCCGGTATTTGCCCATGCCCACGGAGCACTGGTGCAGCCAATGGCAGAAAACACATCCACATCTGAGATTTCGGCAACTTTGCAGCCAGGAGCCGCTGTCTGCTGAGAGTCTTCTCCCACTCAGACTTTTAAAGCATGATGGGCAAATAAAATACACTTTTTTTTTTTTTAAGGTACGAAAAATTGAAGCCCTGCATAATGGGCAGCAAGGACGAAAAAAAAAAAAGGCAGCTGCAGTAGGTGGCTACTGCTGGGAGAACGTGAACACAAGCTTCACCGGTGCGGTGAGGCACTGCCAGCATGCAGATCTTTCTCTGCAAGCATGCGTGGACACTGTGATTTGTAGCCAGAGAGACCTTTATGCTTGCTGAATAGAAAACAAAATGATTGTACAGCTTGTTGAAGTCAGAACACTGGAGATCAGAGAGATGACATTCAGAGCTAGCCCTTTGAGTACTTCAAAGGAAACACACAAAAAAAATAAACCGGGTCATGTTCAACATACTAAACAACCTTATTATGTACATTATACGCAATGATTTATAAATACCTAAGCAGAATGCTCTCTACTGTATACAGGTATAACATACTTCTAGAGTACTCAAAGGATGAACAGTCCTCGACTGACTCACATAACCAAATTAAGTAGCACGTTAATGAGCTTCTGTTGACAAACAGAACAGAATCTGATTCAGAAAGTAAGGCCTGGTTCTACTATTTGCAGCCCCAAGTGTGCCAATAGTATCGGAAAACACACGCTCGTCGCTGGAGTCGCAGCAGGTTGCAGGCGTCTTTTGAAGGACAAGCTGTTAACTCCTACTGTAGTGTCAGCGCATGCACTAGGGTCAGTTCGGGGACGTTACAGTGCGTTCACTCTCAGTGCATACTAACAGGATTTTATAAAACATATAAAATCATTTGAGAAGGAATTCAATTCCTGGAGATTTGCTACAGTGTGCCATACAAAAAAAAACCAAACAGCAAACGGTGATGGACCAAGCTCCACCACAGCTGGGAGGGACTAAATGCCATCTGGCCAGCTATGCTGACCTTCTGAACCCCCCAGCTGGAACAGAAAATGCTGAACTGACATGGGGAGAAAGAGAGGCATAAATACTAAGCAGTTAGAGTACAAATTAAAAAAAAAAAAACAACCAACAAAAAGTCAAACCCACTACTAAAAATTCAAACAAGACAGCTAACTGCTGCCAACAAGTCGGCTGAATATTTCCTCAAAAGGGAAAATAAATTCGTGTTAAACTAAAATAATTTGAATCATTCAAAAAATTAAAAAAGAATATTCTAACAAGCATACTGAAAGATGTTGAAAAGGAATGGTCCACGGAAAGGGAGACACCAACCATAGAGCAGCCAATCCTCCCTCTAGCGAGGATGGCTTTTCTGAGCCTGCAGAAAGACCCTGGGGAAATCCCACCCACCAGGATCGCATGGTTTCTCCTGCCATGGTATTACTCATTGGGAAAGATGAGGGAACTAGCCCTGCAGCCAGCAAAAGCCTGGACACATCCTCACAAACTCAGGAGCAGGTCACCTCCTTTGCTCTCTTGTCAGCAGGGAAAGGGAGCAAGAAGCTTTGCAGCCCAATCCCACACAGTCCCCCACCAGCCCCAAGCCCTCCTGAGCTGGGGACTGGGAGGGGAGCTGGCACCAAGCATCACCTCCCAGCATAGCTCCTCAGGGCTGGGGCTGAGACACACAGGGATGCACTGATGGAAAGGGAGGACAATGGGGCTTTACCCTCCCTGCTGTGGTACTGGAAACTCTCATGTTCTCAAGTAGGCTACCATGGTGTCCCTTCAGCTCCCCAAAGAGGAAATGGAGGGGGCTGGAGAGAGACCAAGGCACCGAGAGCCGCCAGGGAGCACATATCCATCACCACAGCTGCAGCCGTAAGCTGCAGGTCCACCATCCTCTTGCATCACTGGCACTAGGGGCAAAAACCCAGTTCTGATCCATTGCAGGTTTGGGGTGGGCATGCCCGTCAGCCAGGATCCAGCCCAGGGCCAAACACAGCACATAGCATCCTCCTGCTTCCCCTGGTTACAGCAGAGGCAGGGGGAGCTCATCCTCTGCAAACAGAAGGTCTCCCTTTGGGAAAGGGTGCTGCTGTGGGGTATTTGACTGCTGCTGGTTTGGCTCTGATTTGGTCTGTGTCATCAGATTTGCCCTGCTGCACCCTCACCCAGAGCACCCTGCTGACAGCAGTGCCCAGCGAGGTCCCTCCGCACCCCTCCGAAACACAGAGCACCCAGCAGGGCTGTGCGTGGGGCTGGCCAGGAAGAAAGAGGTTTCTAAAGGCAGTTAACAGCACTGCAGGCTCTTCAATGGCACAGGAGGGGAGCTGTGGCAGCAACCAGCTCTGTCCCAGCTGGCTCAGTAGGTGCTTCTAACAGGGTCTTTTTGTCCTTTTTGTTCCATTTCAGATGCCCTTTCTGTCCTCTGGGATGAACATTTTGCCCAAAGCACAAAGGAGTTGTGGGGACAAAGCCATTCACCACCCAACACCAGTGGGTCAGGTCAGAGCAGATGATCATCCCTTTGACACTACAGACTTCAAGAAAAATGCAGCTAGCCTCACAAGGCAGCACTGAGATACAGCCCTGCCAGCTCCCACTGCCCACCCACGGACACACTCGGAGCCTAATCCAACACTCGCCCACCTAATTCCAGTGTCCCATCGCAGGCATCAGTCCCAGAACTGGGTCTCAGGTTCCCTTTGGGGAGTAACAAGTAACCTGGAGAGTCTTTTGAGCACATGAAAGAGCCAAATGGGTTGGGAGGGGAGAAATATTTACAGAGTCAAAGAAAGGAGCAAGAGCCCAGCTGTTTTGCACTGCACAGCTGGCTGGAGAGCAGTTACAGAGAAATCAGCCCAGAGGTCTATCAGAAGAACTATGTACAAAAACTCAGATGTTTAAAAAAAACCTACTTTCATTACACACTTGACATCTCCCAGTATTAAAGCATCTGAGGCTGGAATCACAGCCACATCTGCAAAGATCTCCCCACGGAAAGACCTGCATGTTAGGCAAGCTGCAACAGGGAGTACAAAACAGGACCACAAGACTTGTAAGAAGAGAAGAACCTAGCCAGAACGGCTGCGGCCATGGGGAGAGAGCAGGTAACTAGCACACAGAAACCAAAACTGGGTATGAACTAAACCAACAAGATTTGTTCGACCTTTACGTGTGTCCAGGTTCTTGGACTCAGTTTTGGAACGCTAACCTAAACATATTTCCAAGATTTCAGCAGGCTATACAAATATGTTTAAGTATGGCTTTCTGTTGTTCACTTTTAATGAAGACTGCAACACAGACCTTGTTTCCTTTACATTCAATACCAGTAAGATTCTACATAAAAGCTTTTAAGGGACTAAAATACTGATTGCAATAAATATCTGCATGGCCTCCTTGAGCTGATGGAGCGCGCCAGTGAAGAGTAGCAGAAAGGTCTCTGAGAGGCACCGTTGATTGCTTCTAAGTCTACACATATGTCCACATATCTCCATTAACTGTGCGTTGAAACATCTGAAGAGGAACTGCTGTTGCTGTTGGTGGTCTGGGCCCTCTTTATGTACAAGTTTAGTAGCTTCATCTGAAAGAAACAAAAACATCAGGAGAAAATGCCAGGAAAAACAGGTGGACAAGAGTCAACTGCAAATCTTAAAACTCGTGTTCTGCGGTGAACTCAGTTTTGAGTGAGCTGACACTGAGCTCTCTGGAGGAAAAGCAGAAGCAAAGCTGAGCATATTTCAGAACAGAGGCAGGAGCGTATGCCTAGTCCCACTGAAGTTAGACAGATTTAATGGGATTTAGAAAAACTTCTTGCATTTCACTTCAGCAGCCATTAGTTCACAGACCTCAATCCTGCAGCCTGCTCTGAACAAGCAGGATTCCCACGGAGGTCAGTGGGACTGCAGGCACACCAGCGATCCAATAGCCATGGTTGCTCCTAGGAAACACCCTGGACTCTCCATGCTTTATAAAATGTTCATTTTCAATGTCATTTAAATATCTTCACTAACTTGGTACATCTAGTGAAACTCCAGCTGTTATGACTATATACTTCCTTTGCATGGGTTTGTTTTCTTTTTCTGCCTTACCACCTTAGCTCCAGATCCTGCAATGACTCATGCACATGTTTAAAGTTAAACATGCACACGGTCTGCGTAAACCCAGAAGAATTACTCACATGTTTATAGTTAGTTATGTGGTGGAGTAGGTCTGTGGCACCTAGAACGCTGGGATAATAAAGCCTCTACAACATTTTATATGGGGATTTCCTAACTGCCCAAATATGAGGTAAACCTCAGCACCCATAGCTGTCTCTTTCCACAGCAATTTGGAGGCACAAGTAATTTGTTTAAGGACAAGGCAATTCAATTCAGAAATAAAATCCAAGTGTCCTCAGTCTCAGGTTGTTTTAGCCTACACCACACTTCTTATCCATGAAAGAAATTATTGCTTCAAAATAACAGAACGAAGCCCTCTGAACTAAGTAGCTATTCACATGCAGAGATCTATTTCAGAAACAAAAATGCAGAATTCATCTTAAAATTGCAGAGAAATCTCGAGTATAATGACTTCAAACAGGAGAAGAAATCTTGTGCCGGCTTCCTGAGCAGCTCTGAAAAGCAATCAAACACCACCCACCTCAACACAAAATGCCAGCTCTTGTATGAAGGACAGAGCTGAATTAAGGACTTGATTTCCCTTGCAGCATCAGGTCAGAATTTGAGTTTTGCTGCTAAACTGACTGCAGGGCACAAAATCTTTTGAAGGGTCACTTGAGCTTGCTGGTGTTCCAGGAGGAAAGGGACACATCTGCCATGCTATTAGGAGTGAAGCTTTACCTGTATTTCTACCAGCCCTAATCACAACCTGCTGCTGAGAGGACCTGCTCTCCCACTCATCCCAGCCATGCATTCCTACCACTCTTTGCATTAGATTACCTGTGCAGCTGCAGAGCGGACTGAAAGCTAATTAATTTGTATTGCAGATCTGTTTTTCAGCCAGAGCAGCCAGCTGATCCAACTCACTGCGCGGTCACCCCTGGATGCAATGCTGAAGGGGCAAGGTAAACATGGCTGTAGTGGGAAGGACCCGCTCGGTGGCAGCTTGCAGTTACACAGGATCAAACGTGTCATGAAACCGATCCCCGAACCCCATCAAAACTTGCTTAATGGGATTTCAAATGCTCACACTGCTGAGCAAGTGCTGTGCTGTTCTAGTGGTTTGGCAGGGTGAGATAGGATTTAACAGAGTACAGGGAACTTGACCCAGAGCTACTGTGAAGCCACTGGTCTTGCTGCTAGTAGTGCAAGCCATTCAGCTGGCTATTATCAAAACACCAGAGACGCATTACTCTTGTACCTTGCTTCCTGTGAGTTGTGCGAGATGAGGTTTCAGTTCTTCTCCAATTACTGAATAAATTGCCACTAGGCAAAATACGCTAGCTTTACGGACACTGCTCTCCGTATTATCATAACCCTAAGAAACAAGAAAAAAAAAAGTCAGAAGTCAAACAGCACTCGCCAACATCCTTCCAGAGCAATATACTAAAGAGCTGATGAACATTTTGCAAGTGTGGCTGACCCAATGGATCAATAGAAAGGCCCTGCTTAACGTAGCAGTTTGCAACCTGAATACTCAAAGAGCAAGAGAATACGATCATTCAGTACATCCTATTTCTTCCTTATATTATTAGTTATAACCATCATGTTGTAAGTTATTAACATCTTGTTATTTATAGCATTAAGCAACAACACACAGTTTCCCAACATAAGCTTAGGACTCTATCAAATATACACATTCCTGTGTCCACTTCAGATGACTATATGCTATCCTGGATGGGCAGGACTTCTTGGAGGGGAGCCCTCATGCTCCCAGCTTGCCTTCAGAAAAGTCTTTCCTGACCCAAATCTAACCCAAAGGAAACCAATTCTGCTCCTGAGAGCGAAGTTACAAATGGACATGAATTTTGCAGCAAAATGGCCTAACGGTTATATCACTTAGGACATGAAAGCCGGAATCCTGTTTTGTGAACGGATATTCTACCAAAATATCTATTTGGACAGAATAGCTCTATCCAGGCATTAGAAACTGCAAAAAATCAGAGTCATCATGGATGTTTTCCAACTCTTTAAAAACACTGGGCATAAATACTGTGTATAACAGTGCTACACACATGTGCTAGTCCATTAGATGGACTGCCTCTGTAACCTGGAGCTTTTTGATTACTTATCAGGTAGGAAATACCACAGAAAAGAACAGGTTGAAAGACCCCCGTAGGTGTGTCGGATCTCTGGCAGCTTCAAGGAGAGCTCAAACTAGCCAACAGGTCACTCAGCAGCTGGTGACACCAGTCCTGTACTCAGGCAGTGATTCATCACTAAGCAGCCATCCCATGAGAAACACAGACATCACTTCAGCCTGCGGGACGCTGGCTCCTCCGGATGCAGGGTGACCTCTGCTGGGAAAGCCCAGAGGAGGGATGCGACATGGCTGGGGCTGCCAGGCTGCCCACTAGCAGGGCTGATGTTCTAGCTGCAGGGCCAAAATACAGTCTGAAATGAGAGTTTGCAATCCCAAAGAGCACTGAACTAGAAAAGCAGGAGACCTAGGTGAGCTCAGAGAAACATCAAGCTATTGAGGACCGAGGTGGAAAAAAGGCTGAGCCCACGCCCACAACAGAGGAACACCCACAGAGACACAACCCACTGCCAGGAGGACAGTTGGGACGCAGGACTCTCTCTGGGGGTCCCAATCCAAAGGCTCTTGAACTTAGATGCCTCTGCTTGACCTCAAGTTTCCCTATAGACCTGGTATTTTGCTTATGTGTGCATCCCAAATTGCTTCCGTGGGGGCAGACAGATCCGTGTGGTGTTGAGGCCTGAGAGGGCTGTGTCCCGGCGGGCACTGGGCTGGTAGAGCCTGCCCAGTATGTGCCAGCGGGACCATCACCCCACCTCTCCATCTGCCAACTTGCTTGCAAGGCAGCGGCTGCTTCTTCTGCTGGCATTTAATAACACAGCACAATGGTTAGAGCATTTGCTCAGGAGATGACACTGGCTTAAAGCTCTCTTCAGCCTGAGGGCATCGAGATGCAGCGCATGGGAGAGTGCCTCACAGCCCAGCTCTATCCCCCCAGCTCCAAGGGAGCCAGGGCTCCACATTGGGACCAGGGCTCCACCACGACTTTTCCCCAGCCAAGCCCTGTTCTTGCATGACCCCCTCCATCTGCTCACGGCAGGTCATGGGGATCCCACTCTGTGCTGCTGAGCTACACACTTGTACTCATGCTGCTGCTGTCCGACGCTCCTCGCCTCTTCTCCACTCTGCCGATACCCTTGGCATAGTAAACAAGCACACAGGCGATTCCCTCTGCACACAGTCCTTCAGCCAGAAGGATTCCAAAATACTTCCCAAACATCAGGAGTAGATTCCTTTGACCGCTATGAGTTTCTAAGGTGAGGAAATATCACTGGCAGCTCCAAGATGAAAAATAGCAAACTAGGCTCCAAAACAAGATCCGTTTTAAGACATGGAAGCAATTTAATAAAACAAATATAACTGCATTTTTAAAGGCATGCTGCTCCCAAACTTTTCCGGTGCATTGAAGCCCCACTGTTCAGATTGTTCAGGGAATTTCTGACTTTGCTTTTGTCCTTCCAACTTTTTACGCTCACAATGAGGAGGCTTCTTTATCCCAGTTCTCCACAGAAGTCTTACCCACCCAGACATGTCTCCCCTTCAACATTGACTGATTTGTTCCTGTTGCAATCCCTCCCCAGTAAACATACACACACATTCTCTCTCCTCCCTCGCTGCTACCTCCCCTTATTTCCTTCTTGCTTGCAGCCTCATCCCAGCCGCTGGCACCGCCAGCTGCCTGTGCAGGGGAACAGGAGACAACACCTCTACAGCCAGTGCTGAAAGCTAAATTCACAATGTAAGACTAAGCCTTAGCACTGGCAAAAACACAGCTCCCAACCCAGCCTGAGAGATTATGAAAGAGGCTGAATGAAGTCAGCAAGTAGTTCGATCCTTATTTCAGAGAGAAAAGAGGAAAGGACTAGCCTGCCTGCTGGGATTCAAATTCAAGTGCAAAGTACAATCAAAGCACAGAACAGCTCAGCAGAATTAAAGGAGACTACGAGATGTATTGCTTGGGATGTACTGAGACAGCGTAAGATGTGGCTAACTCCTTCTCTCAAATTTATTACATGGCTGCTACCAGCTTATTTAGGAGTCAGGCCAAGACGTCTAATTATGGAATAAACACATAGGAATCTGAGTTTTCTTTTAACATTAAAAACATCAAAAGTTCAAATACAAAAACTTAAGAGGGATTAAAACCATAATTTAGCAAAATCTGGCCCCAGAGAGTCCATTGTTCTCTCCTAGGTCACAGACCTCACAAATGACTCAATGGTGGTGTGTGCTCAGGAGCATTTGTGACATGGAATTCTGTACCTGTAACAAGCCAGGAATGATATCTGGAAGGAGCTGATGCAACGATTCCTTGGAAATCCTCTCGATGACTTTCGTCTGCATTTTGATGGCAGCTAAGTTAATTGGATAATCTGCAGTCTGAATGATGGGGCAAAGCACCTTGATGCATTGCTCGGGGTGGATGGAACTCGCCAGGGTGGAAGCAGCTTCTTCAGCTGCTCTGACGACCTGGAATGAAAGCAGAGCAAAACCTTATGTTAATGAGGTCACACATCACAGCCAAAACCACCAGTGTGTACTAGGAATGACTGCCAGAAAATGCTTGGGGATGTTCATTAGGAGGTTCTATCAAGAGGCAATTGACTCCGAGAATTCACATCCTTCACCTCCAGTGACATCTTTATTCCAGCTAGTGGTAAGAAGTGCATCCTGCCTAATTCAACTGTGTCAAAGTTGTGGCTAGTTTGAAAGAGTCATCTGTCACTCAAGATAGATAGGCACCCCCATCCTAGAAGAAGCGAGATGACGGTATTTCTCCAGCCACTGGCAAAGAACCTAAACCCACCAGCTTAGACTTAATACAAAATTTATCTCCTTAAACATTAGAATCATAGAATCATAGACTATCAGGTTGGAAGGGACCTCAAGGATCATCTGGTCCAACCTTTCTTGGCAAAAGCATGGTCCAGACAAGATGGCCCAGCACCCTGTCCAGCTGAATCTTAAAAGTGTCCAATGTTGGGGAAAATGAATGACACCGTTGTACCTTTTAGTATGCATCTCACCTGCTGAGTGCTTGGGTGCCCAAGCTGAGACATTCATGCCTACACAGATGTGTCCTGCCATTTCCCAGCTAAACTATGCTGTAATCAAACCCAGGCTACAGACACAAACAGGCTTTAGGGTGTCCCTGACCAGGCAGCTGTTCTCTCAGAACATCTAACCCATTAAGACAGCACTGGGATCACTATAAAACATGGGAGGAAGAACAAGTGGAAACAGTGGTAGCACACACCTTTTGCAACTAGCCCATACTGTAAAGCAGCCACGCAAAACAAGGGAGATACCAAATTCAATTCCACTCTTAGCCTGAGGGAAGGCAAATCCACAACTTTCACACTCTCCCCCAGCAGGTAGGACAGCTAGCTGAAAGAAGACAGACCCAATTGTGGTCTCTCCTCCCATGAGAGTTTATTCATTTTACATTCTGCAGTAATTGGATAAAGAAACAGGATGGAAAGGCAGGTTTTCTTTTTTTCAAGTGTCTGTGCTAATTGCCAGGCAACAAAATGAAGCTTCCCCGTGGCTGCACTCTCCCTGGCCACAAGTCACACACTCTTTGCTCCTTACATTCTTGTTTCAGTATAAAAGATGGAGGATGCTTTTGCTCACCTTTTCTCACTCCCCTCTTCTCAGGGCTTACTTTTAAGGGAGGGTAAATCCTGAATGGACAGAGATGCCCCAGTGGACAGACTTAAATCCAACACCTCAACTCTAAAAAGAAAGAAGCATTCACAAATCCTCAATGCTTAGGATCTCCCAGCTAGCCCCAGGCAGTCCCTAACTCTGAGCCCAGGCGTACTAACACAGCCTTTGAAGGCACCCCCTCTTTCCTGATTGTGCGGGAAGCTTGGACACCTAGCACCAGTTCTTTAACATATCCTACACTGAACTACTTGGGGTTGTCTGAAGTCGATACTTTGAAACCAGCACTAGGAAATCTGTCCCAGGCAATCCGCAAGAAAACAAATAAATCAAACCACAGATCTCCCATCACTTGGACTGAAGCTACAGCTGCTGAATTCTCCTCATTCCCCTCTTCCACACACGGTCATAGTATCGAACTCTGGGATTTCTGTTTGACTAAGGCAACCCATGGACGGATGCGGCTCTATCGAAGCCTCAAAATAAGGCAAGCTTTCATTATTTTTAAGTAACCACTGTGGATAATGCACGAACCAGGAGTATTTGGAAGTCTCTCTCAGTCATTACTAGGACAAGAATGTCTCCCCGCCTGGACTACAAAACATTTTCCAAAAAGGTTTAATTGATTTTTAAGACAGCAGCAGTGAATAGCGACCAGAAGAGATCATCTCCATCTACAAAGCCTGTTTCACCCACAGTCTTAGCATCACAGCCACACCACTATCATTAACCTTCCACTCATGCTGACAGCTACCTCCCTGAAACAGGAATGGCCACAAGATACTTGTACACCCAGGAAATAAAAAAAACTCATCCACTTGGCTCTCGGCATCCTCTAAAGCAAACCCAACAGTGAAAGTGATCTCAGGTACTCCACATAGTACAAATACTGTATGCAGGCAAGGTACAGACAAGATGGTAAAGCAGACCCGAGACCTTGGTTGCTTCTGTATCAGCTGTCAAGCTGCTCCATCTACCTCAGGCCTTTCTCAGCAATTAATTATAATGTTAAAACATTCAGAAAATAATGGCAATCCACAATGTGGTCAGTATTCAAAAAATTTCATCCTGAAAGATCTGTGAATGAGTAACTAAGCAGAACAGAATGCTTGTTTTCCCCTCTTCCAGCAAGTTTTCCCTCTTCCAGCTATTTCTTTGCAAATTCCTCTTCAATTTCACACGAGAAGCATGAAAGCTAATATTTTTTCCATGTAAGCCAGTACTAGCTTAGAAGGAAGCACTATGTGATTTTGTTGGGAAAGGAGAGAAACACTTGAGTTCTTAAGGGAAACTGAATGCCATGCTTTGGTACCACGGCATTGAATTGAGTGGATGAAGTCAGGAGCTCCCAGCAGGTCTCCTTTAAAGGAATTCACTTCTTGGCACTGCAGCTTTTGATGTTGGCTTTCCCAGTGCTGAAATACTGCTACTATCAAGCTTTCCACAAACAATGCAGTGGACTTAGAGAGCCCAGATATCTTGTAATCAACAACATTCACGAGCAAGTCTACAACATTCGCTAGCTAAAAAAATTAACTATAACTATTTGGACACAGGCTGCTTGGGATTTTGCTTTACTGAAGTATTTGGAGTTGTTGCAAATGTTTTCACAGACACTCTGAGAAAGAAAAGCTTGAATATATCACAACTTACAAAAGAATTTTTTTTTTTTTAAAGCTTAAATCCTCCTGGCATCCTACTTGATAAGAAAGTAACAATATTTCAGTAGGCATCTACAGTCAGACTCTCATCTCAAATACACTACTGTAAACTTTAAACAGTACTAGAGTAGGTAAAAAAAATCAATGAGTAATTCTATCTGCGTTTCAGCTCCACATCCTGCGTGCATAAAGTTTACCATGCACATTAAGTTGCAGGTATGAGGTAAGTATGAGAGAAAACCTTTTTTTAAAAGCCTGTTACCAATTCCAAGCACAAGGGGTTAAAATACAGCTGAAATTTTTCACAAAACAAGCCAGGATTCAAATAGCAAAGGTCACACGTATTTTGCACATCGTAAGGTCAGCAAGAAAAGTTGTAAAGATGCAGGATTTTATGCCCCTGCAAGTCCTCCTTTCAGCAAAGCTGCCCATTTCTAGCAAGGATCTGGCCGCGTTTGCACAGCAGTTGGGTATTTCACATCACTTCTCCCTGAAGTGCCTTCCCTCTGAATACAGAAGGATGTATTACACATGTCCAGTAAGCTTCCTGCTGATATTAGCTTGTAAATGTGACAACACTAGGGAGACTTCCGAGAGCACATCTGGCAGACAGTGTCTGCATCTAAGCCACACTTTAGCAAACCCCTTAACCATGTTTAATAACATGCTGAAGTCTCACTGACGTCAATGGGATTCAAGCGTGTGCTTACATGCTTGCTTGAATCAGAGCCTCTGCAGGTAACTAGGTCCTGGCTCCCTTGGAAAGGGCCAGCAGGAGACAGGGTGTAGGAAGAGGTAGGGCAATACCAGCTGAGAGTGAGCCAAAAGGACAAGCTCATCCCTGCCGGCACAGAAAGCTGAATGCCACCATTCTGCAATGCAAGTACCAGCCCTGTCCAAAAGGTCTTCCCTTCTGGCTTTGGCAGACTAAAACAAACATTCAGCTATTCAGACTGTCTCTGCATCCTACAAGGGAAAGCACGTCTCTAAATGCTTAGCACAGTCAGAGTCCTGCTCACCTGGTAACACCAGAGAAATCAGCAGCATTCCTACATAAAGGGAAGTGCATTATCAAAAGATACAAACTGCCAGGTCATTTGGCGACAAGAACATGCAATTATAGCAGAGTTTAGCAAAGATATTTTGCCATGAGGCACAACACTTTGTCTTGCAAATTATACATACCATACAACATCCAAAAATCAAACATCTTTTTTAATCAGGGCTTTAACCTGACCAGCAGAGTGAAACAACCTTAAAAGGAATGGGAAAAATGAGCAAACAGCATCAAGCAACAGGTCTTCTTCCTCCCATCTTTGGAGGTAAGATCAACAGATACACACTGGGAAGTGACAGGAATGGCTCATACTAACAGCAGACACCAAAAGTAGTGGCTATGAAATGCATCCTTTAAATCCGAGAGAAAGAAAGGGTGCTGTTTGCTACGTGCTCAGACTGGGTAGCTCACTGTCACAAGAGGATTAAAAATTAGACAAGTTTACTGAAGAGAAAACAAAGGCCAAAATACAGAGAGGCAGGCAGAGCCATTAGCATGGGAAGGCTGTAAGTTTCAGACCACTGGAAGGAGGGAGGACATCCTCAGGGAAGCATCATTGTATGCTTGCTTCTTACTAGTCACTGTCAGGTAGGGTATCAAGTGAAGCAAACTTTTTCTCTGACCTAATATAATTATTCTCAGTGATCTCAGAAATATGAAGGAAAACTAGCAAAGTCATCAAATGATGATGGTACCTGGAAGAAGCAAGTTTAAAAGGGTGGCTATGAAGCAAGATGTGCAAGACTAGAGAGAGCCTGCAGTGTTTTATTAAAACACAGACATTAAGCTCTGTGTAAGGTATGTCACAAATATGATTTTACCTCCCAGTAAAAGCTTAGAGCAAACCATGTCTTGAACTGGATAGTTCGATATCATTCACCACAGGGCAGGTAGCCCAGGAATGCAGATTTAAAAGATAGCACTTTGCCTTAAAGAAGCAGGTTTTTCTCCTTTCCAAATGCTTACCTTACACTCTACACGCTAGAGACTAGATTCGGCCTGACTTCTGCTGGCATAACATAAGCTGTGTTTGCTGGTGGGTTCCTTGAAAAACATCTGCAGTGCATTAAGACCTTTCCAGTGAG